TTCACAACTGCTTCTCTGTTGAGATACATCAAATTCCCATCACCACACGGATAGGGGAGGGGATGATACCGGGAGGGGCAGTGATTTGCTAGAGAGTCTCCATACTCCCCACTGCATATGAAGAGAGAAGACACCCAAGGTAGAAAGCATGGTAGCATCCTAAGAGAAGAAGGAGTGCAGCACCGTTGTGGAATGCAGAAATTTGCTCACCCAGGTAAATCCTCATCTGTGATCCCACCAAGACCTAGTGAATGTGTGCTGAATTAAATCCCAGAGGAGAAGGTTGAAAGACACTATCAATCTCAATTTTTCCTACTTATGGACACAGGCAAGAGTACTGAAGAAGCTGTAGCTGAGGCAAGAGATCAAAATTCAGCCATGTCACTTTCACTAAACTCATTTTCTCATCTGCAAATGACACTGAGAATTATTATGCTAGTCCATTTTCAGTCACCATAACCTAATACCTGAAGGTGGGAACTTTGTAAAGAAAAGAACATGGCACCAGCATCAGCTTGGCTTTGGTGAAAGCCTGATGGAAGATAACACCAAAATAGTAGGACCACAGATGGAAAAGAGATCACATCATCAGAAAGGAAGCCAAACAGCAAATCAGGGGTCAGGCTGGCTGGCTCTTCCATAACAACTTGTTCTCAGAACTAACTCAGGATTCCAGAGAACTCCCTTAATCCACTCCAAGTGAAAGCTCTTACTGACATGAGCCCCTCCCAAAGGGCCCACAATATCTCACATCTCACACTGGGGACCAAGCCTCCAACATATGAACGCTTGGGGCCAAACCATACCTAAACCAGAGCAACTATAATGAGCCCACTTTAATGAATCAATATGGCAATTATATGAGCATATAGTAAATACTCAAAAATGCTTAAAATTTTATAGTTTTAAAAAAGAATGATGACTGAGCACCAGTGGCTCATGCCTGTCTGTAATCCTAGCTACTTGGGAGGCTGAGATCAGGAGGATTTCAGTTTGAGGTCAGCCAGGCAAATAGTTTGTAAGACTCCACCTCCAAAAAAACCACAGCAAACCAGTGGAGGTGTGGCTCAAGTGGTAAAGAACCTGCTCAAAGTCCTGAGTTCAAACCCCAGTCTCACCTCCCCTCCTCCAAAAAATGATGATTGACAATTTCTAGCCTAAAGTTTATGGCTTGCCTACATCTAAATATTCCTTCCATTGATTCTCAGCCCCCATCCCACCCACCTACTCATTTCATTCCTGCAACCTACATTAGGGAAGCAACAACCATTTCCTTCTCCAAGCCTCCGGCAGCCACAGCAACTCCCACAACTCGTTCCTTCCTCTCTTCCCTTCGCTCTCATGCTGTGTTTCACATGCACTTTCAAGAAAATGGATTTCCACCCAGACCCTGCTTCCTGTATACAGCAGCATCACTTTATTTCCTCACCTCTTGCAAGTTTCTTCTGGCAAAGCAAAGCTGAGCATTCCAAAGCCATATTCCAAGAAAAGTCCCCACCCACCAGTGCACATATCCAGCACTGAGGCCTCCTTACTGCCCTGGGTCAAAGTCTCAGGCTCACTCATCGGTTACAGAAAGTGTTCCTATGCCTCCTGCATTACCATCACCTACTTAAGCCCACAGAGATGGCTCCAGAGCCTCTGTCCAGCCTTGTTCTCCTGTAAATCATGAATCTCTAGAGGACCAGTTAATGAACCCTACAGACTTTGATATAAATTTAAACCTTACTTAGCAAAAAAATTAAAGTCCTCCCTTTTCTCCATTTCCCATGGCCCTTTTCACACTGGCCATTCAAAACACAGCCTCAAGAATAATCCACTTTCTTCTCCTACATCTGCAGATGCTGCTACCTTTGCCTGGTAGGTCCTTCTCTCACTGTCCTTCTTCCACATGGGTGATTCATACTTAGCCCAAGAGATTCAGTGAAGACAGCACCCATCTATTATGGCTTCCCTGAGGCTGTCTGTCCTCAGTGCAGAATGGGCAAAACATACCCTGAAACACTGTACACTATACATACACTGCTCACTGAACACACACACCTCGCTCCACCACATACACACAATCTGTGTGCTCCCCAAGGACAAGGACCATGGCCTCCTCGTTTTTGTACTCCCAGGGCCTACCCAGTTCCTGGTCTACAGTAAGATGAGGATGTGGAATGTAAGATGAGAATGTGGATGCTTCACACACTGCTCTTCTCCTTCCTCCATCTCCAACCTCAGCCTTTACCATGCTTCCTACCAGTTTCTATCTCCCTATCCTTTCCCTATTTAATGGAGCAAATTTCTGAGCTAAGGGGACTTCCTAGTCCTCACAAATTACACTGTCCTTGGACAAACCCCCCATCAATCCAGCATCTTAAAAACATTGCTCTGATATCAAATCCATCTCTCCTTCATTCCCAATTAGCTCATGCTAGTTACACAGCAGGGTTAAGTCACAAGTTACCACCAAGAACCACAAGTTTTGAGTTATAATTTTGAGCACATCCCTAAATTAGCCATGTAACTTTGGGCAAGGGTTAAAATGGAGACAGTATTGTCATCTAGCTTCTTTCTATGAAGCTCTTTAAGATTCAAGTGGACTATCAGGTGGAAAAGTGTTTCATAAAGTGCAAAGTACTGTACACTCAAAAAAGACCTGATTAACAAATTTTATCAAATTTAAACCATTGACTACAAGATGTGTCATTATCAACTTAGAATAAAAAAACTGTTCAACTATGACACATCTGTGATTATAAAACAATCAGATTTCAGGAATAATAAACCATAAAAAAGTGTAGTTTAGAATTGACTTAAAAGAACTAATTTGTCTCAATAATAACAGGAACCTTCCATAATTTTTCATATTCAACAGTGGCACATAATAGGTGCTCAGTAACACATGTCAAGTAAATGAACAATAATAACAGTCTTAAGTCAAATGATCACTTCTCTCACTGGAATTGGAAAGCAGGCTTCCAAGGCCGATACTCCCCTCTACTACATCATGCTCCAGCCTGCTCAGAACCCTCAAATGATGACTTCAAGTCATAGAGAAGCTCAACAGCCTGGCATTTCTAAGGCTTTCAAAATCAAATTCCTCACCCACTCATCACTGCTTACAAATGTCCACCTGCCTCAGAAGGACCACCAGAATGTCCTTCCAAGAGGGTCCTACTCAGCCCCAGCGATAATAATCAGCTCAGCTTCTCCTCCCTTTTCTATCCCCAAAGCCCACTCTAGGCCCCAAAACCAACGCCAGGCCCATGACACAGGGGCCCCAGGCTTGCACAGCTAATCCCATCTAGACCACATTCTTGAATACAAAGGGTTTGGGTGAGAGTTGGAGGCTACCTTGCAAATATGAAATTCCATGCACACAATCTGCTCTTTAACTGCCTTGGTGCTGGCAAACTCCCACAAGAAGTCTTGATGAAAACTAGGGTTTCCTAGTTTCCTGTTCCTCAGCCCCCTCCTCAATCCACCACTATTCCCTGAAGGCTCTAGGGCTAGTACTCACCTTTGTAGACCTCTCTTTTCCTCTATATAAGAATGAGAGAGGTGAGGGCAAGAGTGATAAAGCCCCAATCCACTTTCCCTCCCTTCCCCTAAAGGCTTTCTTAAAATGCACTTATGCAGGGAGAGGTGAACCATTAAATCACTACACATATGTGAAAAAGTTTTATTGGAGAGGAAAGAAATTTAGAAAAGGGAGAAGGGGTCAGTAGAGAAAGGAGACTGATAATAAAGTTAGGTGACTCTGGTATTAGAAAAGCAGCTCAGAGATGACCCTAAATTTTTGCTAATTCTTTTGTGTTGGGAGGGAACCCCCTTCTGAGGGAAAGTAAGCTAGAGATTTTTCAGTTCTTAGGACCCTGGAGTTCCAAAGGCACTGCCCTGTCCAAGTACCCAGGGTACAATCCCACTGATTGATTAGCTCTCACCCCAAACCTCAAGCCCCCATCATAACACCGTTTACAGCTCCACTCCTTTATCTAGCCTTCTCTGGCCTGCGCTTGCCTCCTGCGATGGCCTTCCTCCATGCCTCTGGATTGCTTCAGAAAACACCCCATCCTTCAAAAGCCCTGATAAAGCACAGCCCCCTCCAAGAGCCATTTCTGGCCTGTCTCCAGAGCCCCCAAAATCAAGCTCCTTCCCTTGAACCCCCTTAAAACTCGATCTATGCATTTTCCCCAGCACTAACACTTCCTACTTGGGGTCAGGTTGGCTCCTTGGTTCAAGTGAGCGCTCCCTGAGAACAAAGTCTGGGTCCAACCCACAGTGCCTGCCACACAGTGGGGACTTGAAATGCTTACAAAAAAGGCACCCGGGTGTCCTAAGCCATCTAATTTCAACTATGGCCACCTAATAGATGACTTCGGGAAAGACCCTCCTCTCTAGACCTCAGTTGCCCTAACTGTGAAATGGGAGGACTTGAATGACTGGGTCCCTAGGCCCTTTCCACCGTGACAACTGTGATTCCGCGAAAGCTCTAAGCTGCTAGGCGTGGCCCCGCCCACTAGGCGCCCAGAAAAGCCCGGGCCGGGGGCGCTCAGAGAAAGCCTCCAACCCCTCCCAGCCGCGCGCGTGCAAGCTTCCCCAAAAACTCTGGGTCCCCCTCCCCCATGGCGTTCACCCCGTGATTAAGCCGCGGCCGGCACTTCCGCACGGCGGGCCTGGCGGCCGGGGCAGGACGCTCTGCACCCCGCGCTCCTGCCACCACAGCGGCGCTCGAGCCCGGGGAGGGCTGGGGGTTCCTGAGGCGCCCGCGGGCAGAGGGTGGGGGGAAGGAAGGAGGATTTGCAACAATACCTCAGGGAGGAGGCAGACGGGGCAGCAGCGGCGGCGGCGGCTGGAGGCGGAGGCAGAGGCGGAGGAGGAGGTGCCCGGGCACTCCCCCTCCCATTGTCCCCAGCCCCGGACAGGCCCGGCCCCGCGCCCCGCACCGGCCCTATGGAGCGCGCCACCCGTGCCCAGCGCCCCGCGCCCCGGGCCGTGCAGCCAGCCCTTACCTTGCAGCGCCCGGCTCTCCCCGCTCGCTAAAGCTACTTATCCCGGGAAAGCTCGCGCGGGGCCCGGGAGCGAACCCACAGACAAAAAGTGAAACTTCGGCAGGGCTGGAGCGGCTGCTGGTTGGTGCCTTTCCCCCTCCTTCCTCCCCACCGTCCCCACCCCCTCCCCTCGGTCTCCCGTGCGGTGCCCTGAGCGCTGGAGGCTGACGTCAGGGGCCTGAATTCCTGACTTTGCCTGCACGCATTTGTCCATGTAAGGTATGGGAAGCCGTGTGCCCGCGGGGCCGCAGCGCAGCGCTCGCCTGGCGGGGGAGGGGGCGCCCGCAAATGGCAGCGGCTTGGCCAAAAGGTGGGCGAACCGAGGGCATTGCATTTCCTGGGAGGAAGAGGAGGGGACGCGGGAATGCAGGGAACTTGCAAAGGAGGAAGGGAAACAGGGAGGTGTGGAAGCTTTGCCTCCACTGGAGGAAGAGGAAGGAGACGTAGGAGGAAGCGGCCAAGTCGAGGGGCTGCTGGTGAAATGGGGGAACTTGGAGCTGCTATTAAGGCGCCAAATTAGGAGCCTTGAGCCTGAGCAGAAGAGATCCTGCCTTGGGATCCCCTTCCAAAATCCAACTCGTGAGCCCCGCCCGGGATCCCCAGCAAGTCTCAAAACTTACAGAATGTTAGAGCTGGCAGAGACCAACTTCCAACCCAACCACTGCCCACGTGAGAACGCTGAAGCTCTCAAGAGAAGTGATTTGAACAGGGTCAAACACTGAAAAGAACCTGGAGCCCGACCCGCGTGCTCTGCCTCCCAGCGCGGTTCCCGCCTCCAGGCAGATCACCCAGTGAATCGATTTCCTACTTCCCTTGCCCTCCCTTCCATCCCCCCACCCAGTTCCTGGAAGGTTCTGATTGACCTTGAGCCCTGAGTAGGAATGACAATCAGTTGCCTCAGGGCTACTTCCTCTGTCCTGTGCTGAAAGAAATGAACCTCTGTAGTTTAACACTTACTTCACAGCACTGCCTGGAAGCTCAGAAAGGTTGTTCTGTGCTTATGCTTAAAAGAAAAAGTCTGTGAACTGGGTAAACTGGTTTGAATAAAGACAAGCCTGTTCTTGGAAGGTTTGAGGCGGATTTTTTCCTCAGACATTTGCAAATAGGAGCATTGATGAGATCCCCCACCTACTACGTCAAGGAGTTATTTCCTCCAACTTTCTTTGTATGTCTATCCTGTTGGTATCTAAAAACAAAACATAACAGCCCTTTCTCACCTGCTTATTACATCCTACCTGAGTTATATGGGACTAATTGTAGTCCTTCGTATGCAAAAACTCAGGTAAAGTAACTTGTCCAGCACAGAATAACAATAACGAATCAATGCCTGAACTCACTTCCCCCTTCAGGTCACCTGACAAATCCCAAAATCTTTCCATCGGTCTTCTTGGCCCTGACCTTCAGTGGGACCTAAGCCCAGTCATGCATAAGGAGAGTGCATGAAAACTCCAAAACATGGTTCTTTGGAGATTAGATTTTGATAACCAATAATTAGGGGAATAAAAATACAAGTTACTTTTTGAGCTTCTCTTCTGTGCCATCCTCCAATCCAGATACTTCGGGATTCAAACTGCTTAACCTCTTTGTTCTCAGCTACACATGCAAAACTATGAATATAGTACAAGAGAGATAAGGTCAATAATACCCACGCATTCCAGTAATAATGAAGTATTTTTCTCTTTACAATTGACATGGTTTAAAATAAGAAATATGTTCTTTCAGAGATTTTTGTTCCAAAACTTTGAAACCGTCACATTACTCTATCTTAAACATTTCAGCAAGCCCACGTCCTATTTAATGCTACTGTTTAGTATGAAAAAAAAAAAAATCCCAGTATCACACTGGATATCAAAGCATTCACCCAAACCTCTTCAGTTATAATGGGATTTGACCAGCATTTTTTCTCTCCTTCTCTCTCAGTAACCCACTTATAAAGAATAATAGGGTTCTGATGAGGATTAATAAAATTTAATAAGGTATAATTAGAGTCATTCATTTCCTCCATCATACACATTATAAGAGTGCTTGCTGTGTTGGATCCAGAAATGCTACTAATTATTTTGAAACTGTTGTATGGGTGTGTTGGGGAAGATCACTGTGTTTGTCCTCCTGAAATATTCATGAATTGCCCAGGTAGACATGGTGTTAGCATGAGTATTATAAAAAGTTAATCACAAAAATCAAATTTTGACTCATGAGGCCCTCACCAGGAGTGTAAGTGACAAAGTCATAAATTGGATGCTTGGTGAACTTCATGTAGGGCTGTCAGTTGTGCTAACCCAAACCAAAAGCTTTGTTCTTGTTTGCTTGTCTGCTTCTTTTATATTCTCTTTTCTCAACATCTTAACACTGGCTGTATGCAAGGGCTTGGGCAAGAAGGAAAATTTATATAAATTTGCAGGCACAGTGCTGGAGAAATACTGGTTTACCAGTTCAGAGAATAAAAGGACAGAAGTTCAGGTGGGATGGGGGTCGTAAAGATGACACACTAGTGGTCCAAAAGCCAGCAGCAGCACTCCCACTCATCCAGTGATGACACAACAGAATTTTAGACAGATCAGGCTGTAATCCCATCTCTCTGTTGGATCACAGTCCTGTGTCCAAAGGCCTCTGTAGCCTTCTTTTTTTTTTAGGGTGCTTATGCTATGCCAGGCAATAGTCTAATGATTTTTCATATGCAATTCAGAAACCTTCACAAAACTCTTCAGAGGTGGACATTATTTTTCTACTTAGTCCTAAAGAAACTAAAACCTGAAGAGGTTAAGTCACTTGCTCTTAACATAGAGCTAGTACTTGTGTAAGATCTCATCCTGGGCCCATACAGCCTGGCACCTCACTTCCTGCTGCTGAGTGACCATCTGGTCTCAGTTTGAACACTGCAATGTGGAGACTCGTGATCTACAGCTGACTGGGAGAAATAGCTCTGAAGAGGCTACTAGAGAAATGGTAAGGACAAAAGGGCCAGGGAAGATGGGAGGTAATACCAATCTGTTACTGTCTCTCCTCAGCTTAAAACCCATCAAGTCAAATTCCTTAGTATGTTTGCATGGCCCTCCATGATTTGTCACCTACTTGACCCTCAGCCTAATTTCTGCCAGGCTTTCAGAGGCCTCCACTCTAGCCAACTGAAGATAATGGTTGTCTCCCAAACACCACTTATCACTCCATACTTATTTGCCTTTGCACAGGTTCTTCTCGGGAACCTTCTTTCTTCTCCATTCACCTTGCAACCTTTATTCAACCACTTCAGGCTCCTCTTAAATCTCATCTCCTCTAAGGACTCCTCCCACTCCTAGTGCCACTTCCAGATTCTACAAAGTCCTCTTGCCACTCTGCTTAGGACCTCAGTCCATAGCATGCTTTTGGGTACTTTGTCTTTCTTTCCTTCTTTACTGAATCTAATTTGTCTCAGAGACCTTATTGTAATACCTGTCTTAGCCATTGTAAGCATTCAGCTGTTTGGATTTTTCTTATTATTGTCCCTGCTTAAAGGCAGAAGAAGATATGGAAGGTATAGAGCCTGAACTTTATCAAGAGTTGAGATCTGGATACAAGCAGGCCAAAAGGAAGAGAGAAAGGAAGAAACAGAGGAATCCAACCATTTGGAAGTAAAAGCAAGACTAGGGCAGGGAGGGACACGAGAGAAGGTTAATAGTCCTTGCCTTACCTTAAAATTGCTATGCAGCCTCTTGAGGAGTCACTTCCTCCACAGTTTCAATTTTCTGAACTCATACAATTATGTTCTTGGATTTGTTGAATTTTTCTTGGTTTTTGACTACCAGAAAGGTTCAGAGACCCAAAAACCAAAACAGGAAGCTTTTGTTGCCTATTTTTGTTCTAACAAGCATTTACTATGCACTCACTGACTTTATTAGGCTTGGGAATACAGTGTTGAAAAAAACAGATTCAGTCTCCACCCTACATGTTAACACAAAGGCAACACATAATGCCAATTCCAAGAGAAGGGGTCTGCTGAGACCACTTGGCTGAGACCCTACAATCCCCCCCACACACCACCAATGTATCACTGGATAGACTGGATCCACTGCTTTTTTTATAATAATAGAGCAGGCAAAGATGAACCTGGATATACAAACATACCAGGGCTCCCTGGGGAGCACAAACATGAAGCATACTTTTTTTTGTTACAATTGTTGTTGTTACACAAGCAGCAAGAAGTAGAGGATGATGTTCAAGGGTTTTATGTGAACAAACAAGGCTTTTCTCAAGAGGCCTCACTGGTCCCCTGGGAAGTTGCACAGAACTGTGTTGCTGCTGAAGAATGTCAGCTAGTTCTTGGTGATCTGGAGATCTAGGAATAAACTTGGAATGTACTTTACCTCATTTATGCCTGCAATTCACAGTGTCTTCCACTTGTTAGATATCACAGAAGACATTGGGCAGTTTTAGATGAATGGAAATAAGTCCATTTTATTGTGTGTGTCTTTATACTTCATCTCTCTATGTATGCATATATGCTTATATACAAAGTAATGCTTCGTTTAAGCTATATATAGATAGCTAGATACAGATATAGATATAGATATATTCATTCATTTAAGCATACAAGTGGTTTTTGCTACATTTAGGAATATATAGAATTTTATAACCAACATTACATTCTAATACTAAAGAAATTCCATCAATGCAGAAAGAAATCTTGTACCCATTTATAGTCAGTCCTCATTCCTATCTGCAGACCCAAACAACTACTAGTATACTTTCAGTCTCTATAGATTCCCCCCAGTTAAAAGCCAGTTGCTGCTTCTGGTACTCATCCAGTAAACAGTGATTAGTCCCAAAGCAGAAGGAAAGGGAGGTTGGGGTGCACCCTAAAATAACACCTGCCAAAGTATTTTTCAAGGATAATTTCAAGCAAAACTTTCTATTCTATGCTTTCACTATAGTCACTAATACGGACATTGGATAGGACTGCACTATATATTCACCAGGAAAACTAAAATGTGCTCCGAGTATAGATAGCATAATGCATAAAAAAAGCAAACAAACTTGAAGAAATATATATATATATGTAGGGCAGTAACTATGTTTACATTCTTTAAAAAAGATTTTTTTTTTTAAACCAAAGAGTCTGGTATTTTCA